AAGACACTGGTAACAGTACTGTATTAAGATTATTCTTCACAATTAAAGTTTCTATATGAGGCAGATGAGATACGGAATGAAAATAGAATCTCTCTGCCGAAACAGCAAGGTACTTCAGGAGATTTAGTGGTTTGAATGTAGCTGACGACAAAAAATCCACACTATAAGAACTCAAATCCAAGACTTTAAGATCCAAGTATATTTAGTAATTTATATTTTATATTTATAAATAAATTTGAAGGAAATAATGCAAAAAAGAAAGATTTTTGTAATTTTAAACATCAAGAATCTTTTTAAAAAAATAAAAAGAACAAACTATATAGAGTAAAAAATATCAAAAATTGCACTTTAAAAAAGGTATATAATTTTCATTTCGATCTATCTTAAGTGGACTAGAATTGATATCTTAATACCGATTCTTTGGTCCAAAGTGGACAGCTCAGGAGTGAAATGATTGTGCGAATTAGTTGAACCACGAACCAACTACCCATAGAAGAAAATTATGTTCTAAAAAGGATGGTTTTTTTTTAATAAAAAGAGAATTCTTTGAACAAGTTTGCCTACAATTTTACACACATTTGTTAGTACATTTCATTGTTAGTGAATCTCCTATATGGCTTTATATCAAAGGGAACAGAGAAGAATCTGTCCAAACTTTGAAAAATATTGCATCTCCAGCAACAAGAAGCAGTAAATTTAACCTTGAGCCTTTTCGGATCGTTCATCGAATTAGAAAATAAAGAAGTACTCAACAACAACAACATGGTTGATGTGTATTGAGCTATCAAGATGTTAATGGAGAGAAATTGGTCAAAAGTATAAAGCTGCATAAAAAAAAGAAATCAGTGAAAGACCAACTGATATATATTTGTCTCCAATCATACATAAAAAGAGTTTATCAATGAAAAGAAACATAGCAAATAGTAGTAGTGTTACAATAAAAGAGAAATGGGCTAGACTTCAGTATGAGCATGGCTGCAACAATTAGCTATTAAAACCCTCACTAATCTGACTGTTCTTTGACAAGGTGTATACGATCACATCCTTCAATCTCTTTGATTTCTCCCTTAATTCTCACAGCTGAATCCTCCAGAGATTCTTTCCAGGACCCAATCAATTTAATCTGTTTCAATGATGGAATATCAACAAAGCTAAGTGGGATCTCCTCTCGGTAAATACACTTTTTTATAACAAGTGTTTCAAGCAAGGGAAATGATTCCTCCGAGGCATCCCACCTTGAGATACCTAACTGCACCAGTTTCAACAACTTAAGTTTATGGAACATGATATCTCCAAGGCACCACTCTTCTGATTGAGGAAAACACACTTCTTGTAATTGGAGATACTCCAGGCTTGGTAGTTCCGCAATGAAGGAAATAGCACTTTCAATATGAATTCCTTTAAGTACCAACTTGTTTAAATTTGAAGGCAACTGTAACCCGGATAGAATGCGGGGATGCACAAAGGAAAGCTGAAGTTCTTGAAGCTGGGTAAGATTCTCCAATTTGGGACAAAAAGGCTCTTCATCATCCTCAAATGTGATTTGAAGTTGTTGAAGATTAGGACACCTCCTTGATAACACATCCAGCCTATCAATTGGAAAGGTAACAATTTTCTTTAATATCCTCAAATTTTCCAATTTAGAGGATCCTTCAAAGAGCCCCTGCTTATCAAATTCAGCCCAACCAAAATGAGCATGCCTTAATTTTTCCATTTCCAAAAAAGACACTGGTAACCGTACACCATAAGGAAAATTCTTCACAATTAAAGTTTCTATATGGGGCAGATGTGTTCCTGGATCAAAATAGAATTTATCTGCCAAAACTGCAAGGTACTTCAGCTGATTTAGTGGTTTGAATGTAGCTAATGACAAAAACTCCACAGTATAAGAAATCAAATCCAAGACTTTAAGAAGTCGCAATTCACTAATCTGACAGAAGGGAATCACATCAATAGATTCTCCACCATTTGCTGTTATCAGAGACCTCAAGTGTTAGTGGAAAGGCTTCTGCGTTTTGGAAGCCAGAGATGCAAACTTGGAAAGCTCTTCACTGAAACTGAAGCTCACTCGACTTCCCTTCCAATCCAAGGGTTGAAACTGGATAAATTGGCCCTTCACTGCAAGCATAAAATTTTCTTCTCTACTCTTTTCCAAGCAAAAGTGATGCACAACATCATGAACCTGACAGTATTTGACTTTACCATTATAACTTCTCTTTGAAAGCATTACCACGTTACTGCTAATGAGATCCATCAAGTAACCTTCAGCTTCCTCTTCCATTAATCTCCCAGATTCAGTGTTCTCCACGAATCCTTCAGCAATCCATAAATTTATTAATTTAGATGCTGAAATTCTTGCGTCCTCTGAAAACATCCCCATATAAAGAAGACAAGGCTTTAAACAGTGGGGTAAGTTATCAAAACTCAACTGCACAGTCGCTAGACTGTATTCTTCGAACTCACTGTCAAGATAGTCAAATAAAGCATCTTTCACCTCAATCCACCAAGATTCTTCCATTTTCCTTTTTATGATTATTCCAGCTACCAAGACAACCACTAGGGGGAGTCCTTTGCATTTTTCTGCAACTGCTTGACTCACATCTTGTAGTTCAGAAGGGCAATCTTCCTTTTGAAACACTTTTTTCTGCAACAATTGGCAACTCTCTTCTATTGTGAGGAATGGAAGAGAATAAGGATCAGTATGGTACTTGACTTGCTTACCCACTTCTTCAAGTCGAGTTGTTACGACTATTCTGCTTCTATTTCCAACATCTGGAAAAGAAAGCCTTAAGTCATCCCATACCATACAATCCCACATATCATCCAATACAATGAGATATCTCTTTCCCATTAATTTTCTCCTCAACATGTCGGCAAGAACGTCAACCGTATCTCCATTGTCTTTGGAACCTGTAACTTGACTAAAAATATCTTGTAATAACTCTCTCTGATTATATGTTTGAGAAATGATGCACCATGCTCGAATATCAAAGCGAGAAACAATGATGTCATTATTGTACAACTTTCTAGCAATTGTCGTTTTCCCTTGTCCCCCCATGCCTACAATTGGGACGACGTCTAGCTCATTTGTACCTCTAATCAGATAATCAATTAGTTCATCTGCTTTATTCTCAAAACCCACTACCTCCTCATCAATCACAGGATAGCTATGTCGAGCTGGCAGATGTTTAAATGGAGCAGCTACGTAGTGAGGATTAAGAGGAATGTCCGCTGACCACATCTCAGTCACCTCTACATTAATTTGCATGATCTCTTTTAAAATTGTAGGAAGTGAGCAAAAAATATGCAAAAAAGTATTATACTGAGCAAGAATAGAATCAACGGCAACCTCAGCCTCATATGCCAAATTGATGGTACGTCTCTGAAGATCTTTAGGAATGTTATATTCATGGTGCACGGCATCACTGAAAATGGATGAGAGCTCCTTCTCTAAAATGGATGTAAGAGATGATAGCTCTTTCTCCAAATTCCCTAAAAGAGGTTTCATCAGGAAACCTAAACCGGACTTAGATTTCGACATCTCATTCAGTTTCCTTAAAAGAGAATCCAGAAAGCTCAATCCACCAAAGGTGGGGAACTGAGATGGAGTAAATTTTAAGGATTTATAGTACGTCTCAACTTGTGCCTTCAGATCTTTAGTCTTCTCCAATATCTGTATCGAGCAAAGACTTATTTTGCTAGTGTCATCTTTGTTTATTGATCTAGGAAGAAGCTTTTGAATTACATATAGAACATCACCCGCTATATCTCCAACCTTTAACAAGACCTCATTCAATCAGTTACCATTAATAACATGATTTGACACATCAGCATCAAGGAAAACCAACAAGAATTCTATTGCCACATCAATATTTTGAGCAGAGATATTATTAGGAAAGTTCCCGAGCTTTTTGTTTCTAAGATACATCAACAGATTGTGGAGATGATGTGAAAATCCTTTTGGTAATTTCTTGTCCTTAAAAGTTTTTGATTGAGTAAACTTTGAAGCCATTAGTTCACCATGAAAAATCTTCTTCATTTCCAACTCCGCAAACACAATCAATGATAATAGATAAGGAGGTTTACTAAAGATGTCATTTTCTTCATTGACTTCACGTTCAGTAACATAATCTAATACGGCCAAACAATATTGTCTTACATTGTTAGTCATGAACTGAATTCGAGTCTCCAAACATTCCAGCTTCTCATAGTCGACATAACCATTTATCTCTGTGGCATATATGTATTTCAAAAATCTCATTTTCTTTTGAACAATTTTCAGTTCCTTTATAGATCGATGTATTGCAAGTTTTTTTTTGGAATGGCAGGACCTACCCTTTTGCAAGAACATCATCAGTACATCATTTAGAATTTTTTCCAGACAATCCATATATTTCGACAGATCAAAATCATTCAACTCATAATTGTAACTTAAACTGGTATTACCTTGAAAGAATTCCAACAAATGTGATTCTAGCCTTTCCAGATTAAGGTTAGTTTTACATTCATCTGGAATCCTATGCAATACCCGGTGAAGTATTTCCCCAGTCAATTTGGCACTCTTTGTGAGTTCCACCAAGGAATCAGGCAAAAGAACATCATGATACTTTATAAAGGTTCTAAAAACTCTTAGCACCATTTCAAGTTTCTTAATTCGCAATATCTCGAACCAATCCAGATTACCTCCACTCTTGATCCTTCTCAGGTGGTCTAACATTTCCTCAATTTCATTTTCAGCCATTTCTGTAGAAAAATTCCTGCAAGTTCACCAACTTTTGGAATTAGGTTCTTGAAGCCATCTTAATGCTTTTGAAAAGTTATAAATATTTACAATTTTACATCTTATTTACCCTTTTCGTATTGTCATTTAACTAACAATTATTATCGCATAAAATCGTCTTTTTTCTTGTTGTCATTTATGAGATAGTAACTATTAGTTGAGTGGACCATTTGAGAAATCAACTCTCTAATTATGTATCTATGGGAAAAAGATGACTTACCGTTAGTTAACAAGTATCTTCAATTTCTGATCCAATCATAAAAGGGAGCAATAGAGAAAAACAAACATTATAAGGTAAACCAGAGAGTAATAATTCTCAGATTTGGATTCCAACAAAGATATATTTCCAAGTTTACATAATAGGTGAAACAAGAAAAAAATTTATTGAAATAAAATGGATGAAGGTTTGAAGGAAGAAGGAAGAGTCTTCTTCTCTCTCTATAATAATTCTTATACCTAACAAGAGATGAATTACGTCGGTAGCTGTAAAGTGACTCAATAATACACCCATATTATTTGTCTTTTTCTTTAGGGGTTGTTTGGTTGGAGCAAGTTATTTCGGGATTAATTATCGCGAAATAAGTTACTTGATCATGTATATGTGATCATAATTTATATATTCCATCACTATGATATGGGATACATAATCGGAGGACTACCAAATATGGCTCCAACCAAACACAAGATAAAATAATTCTGCATTTTATCCCAAAATTATTATATCTCATACTTCACACCAAATGACTCTTTAGGAAAATCCCCCAAAATTTTATTTGGTTTGGCAGTTTCATAGTTAAATTATGCACTTATATGATATTTGCTTAGCATATAATTAAGGAATTTTATGGTTGGGTATTGGGTCGGACATGAAGTTATATTTTTTCTCATAAATATGAAAATTCACAAGTTGTGAAAACTTTAAAATTCAATTCTTATGCAATCTTACCAAATGAGTAAATCATTTCGTTAACAAGATATCATAATATCTAAAGCATCGCATCGATGAATTACATATCTTTATGTTTCTTTTAACTTTCAAATGTACATAAACTTATAAAGATCCACTAGTCAACAATAGTAGTAATTAGTAATTCTTTCACATGATACTGCAGACAATTTATTCACGTCGAACATGAGTTTATTTTTGTAAAACTGAAAATAATGATTTGTTTTTTTTACAAAATATAAATTTATGAATAAGTTTTTATATTTTTTTAAAAAAACATAATTCAAAAAAGGATAAATCATATGTCATAAATCAAACAAGGATAAAAACGGAGTGGTGATAATTCTTCCATATATCTTGTGAATGGAGTCTGTTCTCAGAACAGGCCCAATCATAATACAAAAGATTGATTTTTTTGGTTCTTAAGGGTCAAATGCCCTTATTTTTTAGGCATAATACATAAATATGCCCTTTAACTTGGCTTCAAATCACATTTATACCCTTCAACTTTGAGTGTGTACAAGTAGACACTTAAACTTGTATAAAGTTTAACAAATAGACACACATGTCCTACATGGCATCCTACATGTCATTTTTTGTCCTATGTGGTGTCCTACGTGTATTGTGCCATGTAGGACTCGTGTGTTTACTTGTTCTACTTTATACAAGTTTAAGTGTCTACTCGTGCATATCCAAAGTTGGAGGACATAAACGTAAAATGAGGCCAAATTAAAGGGCACATTTATGTATTATGCCTTATTCATTTCATGTCGTACTATATACATTTTTTTGTTTCCACCCAATGTCCGGTACCCACATTGGAGCCTGATACAATGGATTCACGACGTAGTAAAGTCCCACATTGGGGCTGAAACGCTCCCTAACATAGACGACTCTGTATTCGGAGGGGACTCGAATGTCATACTATATTTTTACTATATCTTAAGTTCACATGTTGCAAAGTCCAAATGATCGATGAATGACAAGAACAAATTTATTAGCTTCATTCTGCATGAATTTCAACTTCTAAAAGAGGCACCTGATCACATAATAAAGAGATCCTTCAACATTGCACCTACAGCAACAAGAAACAGTTTAACCTTAAAAATTTTCGGATGTTCATCGAATTAGAAAATCAAGAAGTACTCAACAACAACATGGTTGATGTGTATTGAGCTATGAAGATGTAAGTGGAGAGAAATTGGTCAAAATTATAAAGCTGCATAAAAACAAGAAATTAGTGAAAGGCGATCTGATGTATATTTGTCTCCAATCATATCATACATAAAAAAGAGTTGATCAATCAAAACAAACATAGCAAACACTACTAGTGTTACAATAACAGAATGAGCTAGCAACAAAATAGACTTCAGTATTCTTTGACGAGGTCTATACGGTCACATCCTTCAATCTCTTCGACTTCTTCTTTCTTTGACGAGGTCTATACGGTCACATCCTTCAATCTCTTCGACTTCTTCTTTCTTTGACGAGGTCTATACGGTCACATCCTTCAATCTCTTCGACTTCTTCCTTAATTCTCACAGCTGAAGCCTCCATAGATACTTTCCAAGACCCAATCAACTTAATCTGTTTCAATGATGGAATATCAGCAAAGCTAAGTGGGATCTCCTCAAGGTCATCACACTTTTTTATAACAAGTGTTTCAAGCAAGGGAAATGATTCCTCCGAGGCATCCCACTTTGAGATATTTAACTGCACCAGTTTCAACGACTTAAGTTTATGGAATGTGATATCTCCAAGGCACCACTCTTCTGATTGAGGAAAACACACATCTAGTAATTGGAGATACTCCAGGCTTGGTAGTTCCGCAATGAAGGAAATAGCACTTTCTATATGAATTCCTTTAAGTACCAATTTGTTTAAATTTGAAGGCAACTGTAACCCGGATAGAATGCGGGGATGCACAAAGGAAAGTTGAAGTTCTTGAAGCTGGGTAAGACTCTCCAATTTGGGACAAAAAGGCTCTTCATCATCCTCAAATGTGATTTGAAGTTGTTGAAGATTAGGACACCTCCTTGATAACACATCCAGCCAATCAATTGGAAATTCCTCAATTTCCTTTAATATCCTCAAATTTTCCAATTTAGAGGATCCTTCAAAAAGTCCCTGCTTATCAAAACCAGCGCCAGCAAAATGAACATGCCTTAATTTTTCCATTTCCCAAAAAGACACTGGTAACAGTACATCATAAAAACAACTCGTCACAATTAAAGTTTCTATATGGGGCAGATGTGATTGTGGATCAAAATAGAAAGTACCTGCCCAAACTGCGAGGTACTTCAGCTGATTAAGTGGGTTTAATCTAGCTAACCACAAAGACTCCACATAATAAGAACTCAAATCCAAGACTTTAAGAAGTCGCAATTCATTAATCTGACAGACGGGAATCACACCAATAGAATCTCTTTGATTGGTCGTTATCAATGACCTCAAGTGTTGGTGGAAAGGCTTCCGTGTTTTGGAGACCAGAGATGCAAACTTGGAAAGCTCTTCACTGAAACTGAAGCTCACTCGACTTCCCTTCCAATCCAAAGGTTGAAACTGGATATATTGACCCTTCACTGCAAGCATAAACTTTTCTTCTCTACTCTTCTCCAAGCAAAAGTGATGCACAACATCGTGAACCTGGCAATATTCGACTTTACCATTATAACTTCTTTTTGAAAGCATTACCACGTTACAGCTAATGAGATCCATCAAGTAACCTTCAGCTTCTTCTTCCATTAATCTCCCAGATTCAGTGTTCTCCACGAATCCTTCAGCAATCCATAAACTTATCAATTTAGATGCTGGAATTCTTGCGTCCTCCGAAAACATCCCCATATAAAGAAGACAAGGCTTTAAACAATCGGGTAAGTTATCAAAACTCAACTGCATAGTTGCCAGACTATATTCTTCGGACTCACTGTCAAGATAGTCAAATAAAGCATCTTTCACCTCATTCCACCAAGATTCTTCCATTTTCCTTTTTTTGATTATTCCAGCTACCAAGACAACCACTAGGGGGAGTCCTTTGCATTTTTCTGCAACTGCTTGACTCACATATTGTAGTTCAGGCGGGCAATCTTCCTTTTGAAACACTCTTTTCTGCAGCAATTGGCAACTCTCTTCTATTGTGAGGAATGGAAGAGAATAAGGATCAGTATGGTACTTAACTTGCTTACCCACTTCTTCAAGTCGAGTTGTTACGACTATTCTGCTTCTTATTCCAACATCTGGAAAAGAAAGCCTTAAGTCATCCCATGCCATACAATCCCACATATCATCCAATACAATGAGATATCTCTTTCCCATTAGGCTTTTCCTCAACCTGTCAGCAAGTTTGCCTACCTCATCTTCCTTGTCCTTGGAGCCCGTAACTTGACTGAAAATCTCTTGTAATAGCTCTCTTCGGCTATATGTTTGAGAAATGATGCACCATGCTCGAACATCAAAGCGAGAAACAATGATGTCATTATTGTACAACTTTCTAGCAATTGTCGTTTTCCCTTGTCCCCCCATGCCTACAATTGGGATGACATCTAGCTCATTTGTACCTCTAATCAGATAACCAATTAGTTTTTCTGCTTTATTCTCAAAACCCACTACCTCCTCATCAGTCACAAGATTGCTATGTCGAGCTGGCAGATGTTTAAATGGAGCAGCCACGTAGTGAGGATTAAGAGGAATGTCTGCTGACCACATCTCAGTCACCTCTGCATTAATTTGCTTGATCTCTTTTAAAATTGTAGGAAGTGAGCAAAAAATATGCAAAAAAGCATTATACTGAGCAAGAATAGAGTCAATGGCAACCTCAGCCTCATATGCCAAATTGATGGTACGTCTCTGAAGATCTTTAGGAATTTTATGTTCGTGGTGCACGACATCTCTGAAAATGGATGATAGCTCCTTCTCTAAAATGGATGTAAGAGATGATAACTCTTTCTCCAAATTCCCTAAAAGAGGTTTCATCAGGAAATCTAAACTAGACTTAGATTTCGACATCTCATTCAGTTTCCTTAAAAGAGAATCCAGAAAGCTCAATCCACCAAAGGTGGGGAACTGAGATGGAGTAAATTTTAAGGATTTGTAGTACGTCTCAACTTGTGCCTTCAGATCTTTAGTCTTCTCCAATATCTGTATCGAGCAAAGACTTATTTTGCTAGTGTCATCTTTGTTTATAGATCTAGGAACAAGCTTTTGAATTACATATAGAACATCACCCGCTATAGCTCCAACCTTTAACAAGACCTCATTCAACCAGTTACCATTAATAACGTGATTTGACACATCAGCATCAAGGAAAACCAACAAGAATTCTATTGCCACATCAATATTTTGAGCAGAGATATTATTAGGAAAGTTCTCGAGTTTTTTGTTTCTGAGATACATCAACAGATTGTGGAGAAGATCTGAAAATTCTTTTGGTAATTTCTTGTCCTTGAAAGTTTTTGATTGAGTAAACTTTGACACCTTTAGTTCACCATGAAAAATCTTCTTCATTTCCAGCTCCACAAACACAATCAATGATAATAGATACGGAGGTATATTAAAGATATCATTTTTATCACTAAATTCAATATCAGCAACATAATCTAATACGGCCAAACAAAATTGTCCCACAGTGTTAGCAATGAACTGAATTCGAGTCTCCAAACATTCCAGCTTCTCATAGTTGATGTTACCATTTATCTCTGTGGTATATATGTATCTCAAAAATCTCATTTTCTTTTGAACAATTTTCAGTTTCTTTATACATAGCTGTATTGCAAGTTTTTCTATGGGATAACAGGACCTACCCTTTTCCAGGAACATCATTAGTACATCATTTAGAATTTTTTCCAGACAATCCATATATTTCGACAGATCAAAATCATTCAACTCATAATTGTAACTTAAACTGGAGTTACCTTCAAAGAATTCCAACAAATGTGATTCTAGCCTTTCCAAATTAAGGTTAGTTTTACATTCATCTGATATCCCATCAAATACCCGGTGAAGCATTTCCACAGTCCATTCGGCATTCATTGTGAGTTTGACAAAACAATCAGGTAAAAGAACATGATACTTTATAAAGGTTCTAAAAACTCTTAGCACAATATCAAGATCCCCAATACGACGAATCTTGAAGAAATCCAGGTTACCTTCAATTTTGATCCTTCTTAGGTGATCTAACATTTCCTCAATTTCATTTTCATTCATTTTCTGTAGAAAAGTTCCTGCAGGTTCACCAACTCATGGAATTAGGTTCATGTCTTTCAATATCTAGTGTTTGAAGCTATGTTAATGCTTGTGAACAGTTATACATCTTATGTACCATTTTCATATTGTCAAATGTCACTTAACTAATTATTATCTCAGAAAATCGTCTTTCTTTCATTTTCAATTTTATGAGATACTAACTAATAGTTGAGTGAACCATTTGAGAAATCAACTCTCTAATTCTGTATCTATGGGAAAAAAGTAATTCATGAAGAAGATGACTTACAGTTAGTTAACAAGTATCTTCAATTTCTCAGATTTGGATTCCAACAAAGATATATTTCCAAGTTTATGCAATAGGTGATATAAGAAAAAAATTCATTGAAATAAAATGAATGGAAGTTTGAAGGTTTGAAGGAAGAAGGAAGAAAGTTCTTCTCTCTCTCTAATAATAATTTTTATACCTAACAAGAGATGAATTGTAGTAGCAAGTTGCTTTAGGTGGTAGCTGTAAAGTGACTCAATAATACACCTATATTATTTGTCTTTTTCTTTAGGGGTTGTTTGGTTGGAACAAGTTGTTTCGAGAGTTATTATCCCGGAAAATGTTATTTCATTATGTATATGGGATCATAATTAATTATATATTCCATCACTATGATATAAATGATGGGATACATAATCCAAGGACTACGTACCTAATATGCCTCCAACCAAACGCGGGATAAAATAATCCTGTATTTTATCCCAACATTATTATACTTCATACTTCACACCAGATGACTCTTTTCGGAAAATCCCCCAAAAATTTATGTGATTTGTTAGTTTCATACTTAAGCTATGCACTTCTATGATACTTGCTTGGCATATAATTAAGGGATTTTATGGTTGGGTATTGGGTCGGACATGAAGTTATATTTTTTCTCATAAATATGAAAATTCACAAGTTGTGAAAACTTTGAAGTTCAATTCTTATGCAATCTTACCGAATGAATAAATCATCCTTCGTTAACAAGATATCATAATATCTAAAGCATCGCATCGATGAATTACATATCTTTATGTTTCTTTTAACTTTCAAATGTACATAAACTTATAAGGATCCACTAGTCAACAATTGTAGTAATTAGTAATTAGTAATTCTTTCACATGATATGACGGACAATCTATTCACATCGAACATGAGTTTATTTTTGTAAAACTGAAAATAATGATTTGTTTTTTTTACAAAATATAAACTTATGAATAAGTTTTTATATTTTTAAAAAAAAAACATAATTCAAAAAAGGATAAATCATATGTCATAAATCAAACACGGATAAAAAAAGGAGTGGTGATAATTCTTCCATATATCTTGTGAATGGAGTCTCTTCTCAGAACAGGCCCAATCATAATACAAAACATTGATTTTTTTGGTTCTTAAGGGCTTATTTATTCATTTCATGTCGTACTATATATAATTTTTGTTTCCCACCCAGTGTCCGGTACCCATATTGGAGCCCGATCCAATTTGGATTCGCGACGTAATAAAGTCCCACATTGGGGAGTGAAATGCTCCCTAACAAAGACGATTGTGTCTTCAGAGAGGACTCGAATGTCATACTATATTACTATATCTCAAGTTCATATGTTGCAGAGTCCAAACGATCGATGAATGGCAATTGGCAAGAACAAATTTATTAGCTTCATGCTGTATGAATTTCAACTTCTAAAAGAGGTAGGTGGATGAACTTCCAAAAGAAGATAAGAAAACGAAACGTGCTTCAGATCTTGCCAAAAAATTAATATGTTGTTGTTACGTTGTTGTATCGATAGAGACAACCATATGGTTCGAAACCAATAAAAATCATATACAAATTTAATGAGAAGCAATCTATTCACGTCGACACATGAATCTATTTTTTTAGAATTTAAATGACGATTCATTTTTTTTTTACAAAATATAAACTAATTGATCAAATTTTATATTTAAAAAATGCATAATACATAAATATGACAGTTAACAATACATGAATTATATTAGCAAGTTGCTTTAGGTGGTAGGTGTAAGGTTAATCTTGTATTTTTCTTTAAAAATGATTGGAACTCATGTATTAGACTAGTCTTCACAATTCACACGCCTTTATTGACCAAATAATGTTAGAGCTATTAGACTAAGAATAGTCGTCGAGTCAAATGTCATAAACCAAACAAGGATAAAAAAAGGAGTGGTGATAATTCTTCCTTGAATTAATGATGTAATAAAGTCCCACATTGAGGGGTGAAACACTCCCTAACAAAGACGACTGTGAATTCAGGGAGGACTCGAATGTCATACTATATTACTATATCTTCAGTTCATCTGTTGCAGAGTCCAAACGAACGATGAATGGTAAGAACAAATTTATTAGCTTCATTCTGTATGAATTTCAACTTCTAAAAGAGGTAGGTGGATGAACTTCAATAACTAAGTTCAAAAGAAGATAAGAAAACGAACTGTGCTTCAGATCTTGCCAAAAAATTAATAAGCAAATTAATATGTTGTTGTTACGTTATTGTATCGATAGAGACAACCATAAATCATATACAAATTTAATGAGAAGCAATCTATTCAGGTCGACACATGAATCCATTTTTGTAGAATTTAAATGATGATTCTTTTTTTTTTTTTTTACAAAATATAAACTAATGGAACAAATTTTATATTTAAAAAATGCATAATACATAAACATGACCGTTAACAATACATGAATTATATTAGCAAGTTGCTTTAGGTGGTAGGTGTAAGGTTAATCTTGTTTTTTTCTTTAAAAATGAGTGAAACTCATGTATTAGACTAGTCTTCCCAATTCACATGCCTTTATTGACCAAATAATGTTAGAACTATTAGACTAAGAATAGTCGTCGAGTCAAATGTCATAAAGCAAGCAAGGATAAAAAAAGGAGTGGTGATAATTCTTCCTTGTAAATGGAGTAATTGGTTATCAACGAGGGTTATGGTGGAGTGATAATTACTCATTCATCCTTAACCAGAGGTCTCGGATTTGAATCCCCCTTGGGTACGAAGTCACCTTTGTTAGGGACCCCTTTATCCCCTAACATTATCCGAAGGAGTTAAAAAGAAAAGGTTGATCCAGCTTGTGATATTTGCTAGCTGAAACTAGGAAATCTTCCACTTCCTCGATGCTTTGACAGGTTGTTAGGTCGCGTATATGTTAATGTAGTAACAATATAGAGGGATACTTCATATTTTTCTTATTGAATTTTGCAGGTGCTGCAATTAAGGTTAAAGATGAAGGGATTATAGAATTTAACAACCACCAAATTACAAAAGCAAAAAATAAACAATGGATTGATGTTTATCGAAGGCAACAAGAAATAACAGTGAAAGACTATCTGATAAATACTGGTCTTCAATCATATCATACATTGAAAGAGTTGATCAATCAAAACAAACTTAGCAATCGGTACTAGTGTTACAATATAAGAGGATATATGGGCGTTTCGGCAGTAGCCTTACAATAGACTTGAGCATGAGCCTGAGCATGAGCATGTCTGCAACATTAATTAGCTAAGAAATGAATTCCATCCACTCGATCTGTCTGCGGTTGTCTAAGCAATTGCCAATGGTTACAGGCACATGCTTGATTCACATATGCCTTGGATTTCACTACTGACTCTGTATTGTAAATCAAATTAGATGCATATAGATACTCAAAAACAGCACATAAGAGTTTGTTTCTACTTACTTTGATAATTAGGTCAATACGGTCACATCCTTCAATCGTTTCAGCTTCTTCCTTAATTCTCTCAGCTGAAGCCTCCGGAGATTCGTTTCTACACCGAATCAACTTAATCTGTTTCAGTGTTGGAATATATGCAAAGCTAAGGGGTATCTCCTCTAGGTCGCGACAATTTTTAATAACAAGTGTTTCAAGCAGCGGAAAGGATTCCTCCGAGGCATCCCACCTTGAGATAACTAATTTCACCAGTTTCAAGAACTTAAGTTTATGGAATGTGATATCTTCATGGCACCACTCTTCAAATTGAGACAAACAAGGTTCATTTTCTATAAAATAAGCCTGTTCTATGTGGAGATACTCCAGGTTTGGTAGTTCCGCAATGAAGGAAATCACACTTACAGTCTCAAATAGTACCAACTTCTTCTAATTTGAAGGCAACTGTAACCAGCTGGATAAAACTATGGGACTCCCAATGGAAAGGCGAAGTATTTGAAGATGGGTAAGATTCTCCAATGTGAGACAAAAAGACTCCGCATAATCATCCCCAAACAAATCTGCAGAATAACTATCCTCAAAGTCGATGTGAAGTTGTTGAAGATTAGGACACCTTTGTAATAACACATCCAGCCTATCCGCTTCATCAATTGAAATTCTAACATTCCTTAATATCCTCAGGTTTTCCAGTTTAGAAGATCCTTCATCGATCCCCTGCTTATCAAATTCAGCTTCAACAATCTCAAGATACCTTAATTTTTCCATTTCCCAAAAAGACACTGGTAACAGTACTGTATTAAGATTATTCTTCACAATTAAAGTTTCTATATGGGGAAGATGAGATTCTCGATGAAAGTAGAATTTCTTTGCCCAAACTGCGAGGTACTTCAGGAGATTTAGTGGTTTGAATGTAACAGAAGATAAAAAATCCACACTATAAGAACTCAAATCCAAGACCTTAAGAAGTCGCAATTTACTAATCTGACAGAAGGGAATCACATCAATAGATTTTCCTCGATTGGTCGTTATCAGTGACCTCAAGTGTTGGTGGAAATGCTTTCGTGTTATGGAGACCAGAGATGCTAACTTGGAATGCTCTTTACTGAAACTGAAGCTCACTCGACTTCCCTTCCAATCCAGAGATTGAAACTGGCAACCATGCCCCTTCACTGCCAGCATAAAATTTTCTTTTCTACTCTTCTCCAAGCAAAAGTGAAGCACTACATCATGAACCTGGCAGTATTTGACTTTTTCGTTATATTCTCTCTTTAAAACCATTACCACATTACTGTGGATGAGATCCATCAAGTAATCTTCAGCAGATTCAATATCTAGCACGAATCCTTCCGCGGTCCATAAACTTGCCAATTTATACACTGGAATTATTGCGTCCTCTGGAAACATCCCCATATAAAGAAGACAAGGCTTTAAACAATCGGGTAAGTTATCAAAACTCAACTGCATAGTCGCCCCGACTATATTCTTTAGATCCACGATCAAGATAGTCATATAAAGCATCTTTCACCTCATTCCACCAAGATTCTTCCATTTTCCTTTTCTTGATTATTCCAGCTACCAAGATAACCACTAGAGGCAATCCTTTGCATTTTTCTGCAACTGCTTGACTCACATCTTGCAGTTCAGGCGGACAATCTTCCTTTTGAAACACTTTTTTCTGCAACAATTGGCAACTCTCTTCTGTTGTGAGGAATGGAAGAGAATAAGGATCAGTATGGTACTTGACTTGCTCACCCACTTTCTTAAGTCGGGTTGTTACTACTATTCTGCTTCTATTTCTAACATCTGGAAAAAAAAGCCTTAAGTCATCCCATGCCATACAATCCCACATATCATCCAAGACAATGAGATATCTCTTTCCCATTAGTCTTTTCCTCAACATGTCGGCAAGAACATCGTCCTTATCTCCCTTGTCCTCGGAATCGGTAACTTGACCAAGAATATCTTGTAATAGCTCTCTCCGATTATATGTTTGGGAAATGATGCACCATGCTTGAACATCGAACTGAGAAACAATGATGTCATTATTGTACACCTTTCTGGCACAAGTTGTTTTACCTTGTCCCCCCATCCCAACAATAGGTATGACATCTTGCTCACTTGTTCCTCTAATCAGATACTGAATCATTTTTTCTATGTCATTCCCAAAACCCACTATCTCCTCATTGTTCACAGGATTACTATGATGAGTTGGTAGATGCTTAGATGGTGCTACCACATAGAAAGGCTTAAGAGCAACTTCACACATCTCAGTCACCTCCACATTAATTTTCTTGATCTCTTTTATGATAGTAGGAAGTGAGCAAAAATTATGCCAAAAGACATCATACTGAGAAAGAATAGAGTCAATAGCAACCTCAGCTTCATATGCCAAATTGATGGTACGTCTCTGAAGATCTTTCAGAATTTTATGTTCATGGTGCACCTTTGTGATATCTATAAAAATGGATCACCAAGAAAAGGTTAATACATATATCTCTCTCTGGAAGACCCCTGATGTGAGGCAATAAGTTATTTTCATAGGTTTTCGTAAGTATTATTTTCATTCTTAATCATCGAACTTATAGGGAAAGGGGAACGATTAACTAACATGGATAGGAATATACCTATGCCAAATTGATAGTACGCCTCTGAAGATCTTTAAGAATTTTATGTTCACTATTGACCTTTGCAATCTCGGAAAATGGATGATAAAGATGACAGCTCCTTCTCTAAAATGGATGTAAGAGATGATATATAGCTCTTGCGCTCTAAACTAAAAGGATACCATTTTGTTGTTACACACGTGCTTGACTCACAGCTGCTTTAGATTTCCCCACATATCCTGTATTGAAGAGATTGTTTGCACATTAGATGCACGTAGATACTAAAATACACATTAGATGCACGTAGATACTAAAATACATATTAGATGCACATTAGATGCACGTAGATACTAAAATACACATTAGATGCACGTAGATCCTGCTTTAGATTCCCCACATATCCTCCTTTATTACAAAGTTCTCTTGTACAAAATACACATAGCAATACCATGTTTCATCATGAAAACTAAACCTGATTCAGACTTCAACATATCATGCAATTTTCTTAAAAGAGAATCCAGAAAGCTCAATCCACCAACAGTGGGGAACTGAGACGGAGTGAATTTCAAGGATTTGTAGTACTTCTCCACTTGTGCCTTCAGATCTTCAACTTTCTCCAATATCTGTATCGAACAAACATTTATGTTGCTAGAGTCATTTTTGTTTATAGATCTAGGAAGAAGCTTTTGAATTACATATAGAACATCACCAGCTATAGCTCCAACATTTTCCATAACCTCATTCAACCAGTTACCATTAATAACATGATTTGACCCGCCATCATTAAGGAAAACCAACAAGAACTATATTGCCACATCAATATTTCGAGAAGAGATATTATTAGGGAAGTTCTCGATCTTTTTGTTTCTGAGATACACCAGCAGACTGTGGAGATGATGTGAAAATCCTTTTGGTAATTTCTTGTCCTTGAAAGTGTTGAGAAGTTAGTTCCAGATACAGCTGTCAGCTGATAAGCAAATGTTTTAGTTAAATTAAATGCACGTGATTCTGTTAGATGTGTCAGTGAGTTGGTTAGTGAAAGTCTTCATTTTCTATATATGTACAGAAGTTCATTCATAGAAGGAGTAATCCTTTTCTCTGTATCTGTAAGTCATTGATTGTATAAGATGGAAGTTTATCTCTCAGTTTATTGAGGTTTTTACATGGTATCAAAGCAAGGAGGACGAATCTAGGGATTCATCTCAGCTGGAATTGACGATAGATCGAGAGATTTCACAGCTCAAACATGGCAATTGAGGAAGTATTGACGGGAGGATCTGTTGACAGAGTTCAAGGAGAGTCTGTCAATGGTGGATTGATGGCACTTGATCACAATCATCCACTCTATCTGAGCTCTTCTGATGTGCCAGGAGCTCTCTCTGTTGGTATTCAACTAACAGGCATGGAGAATTATACGTTATGGAGTCGAGCTATGGAGATTGCCCTACTCGGACGAAACAAATTGGGTTTTATTGATGGCTCTGTTCTACGCTGTGATTTTGATGGTGCTTTGAAGAAAATATGGGATCGATGCAATGCAATAGTGATCTCTTGGCTCACCTGCAATGTGAGTAAGGAATTATTGAGTGGAATTCTCTATTCCTCCAGTGCACATCAGGTATGGCTTGATCTGAAGGAACGTTTTGATAAAATAAATGGATCTAGGATTTATCAATTACATAGGAGTATTTTCACCCTTACACAGGGCACATCATCTGTTTCTTCTTATTATACAAAATTGAGAAACCTATGGGATGAGTATGACTCTATTTTTCCTCCTCCTAGTTGTGATTGTCACAAGGCTAAGGACTATGTTGAACAGATGCAGTATCAGCGATTGTTACAGTTTTTGATGGGTTTGAGTGATAGTTATTCACAGGCAAGAGGTCAGATTTTAATGATGCCTAGTCTTCCTAATGTGAATCAAGCATATGCTTTAGTTATACAAGATGAAAGTCAGAAGGGAATCGCTGGATCTATACATGAAGGGATGGAATCCTTAGCAATGTATACTACAAGGAATCACAGGCCACCTCAGTTTAACTTTCAACCTCAGTTTGATTCTAGACAAACTCCTAGGAAGAACCATCTGTATTGCGATTTTTGTGACATGAAGGGACACACTAGGACAAATTGCAACAAGCTGAAGAAGTGTGATCATTGTCATACGACTGGGCATGTGAAGGATAATTGTTACTTACTCATCGGATATCCAGAAAATTTCAAAGGGAAGAAAAAGGCAAATGCAGTTATAGGGGATGGTAATATGTACTCACAGATGCAGGACTTGCAGGATCACAAGGAGAAGAAGGCTCACATAGCTATAGGAGAACATCAGATGGGAGATCAAGTTACTCAGGAACAGTTATTTCAGTTGTTGAACAACACTTCACCAGAACAATTGAACCAAATTTTCAATATGCTGAAAAGGGACAACAACAACATGGATCCTCAAAAGAGTGTCAATATGGCAGGTAATTCTTGTTCTCAATTGAAGTGGATTATAGATACTGGGGCTACAGATCACATGATACATAATCACATTTACTTGCAAGATGAAAACATGATGAATAGGCTAGGTAAAGTGCAGCTGCCTACAGGAGACTTTGCTACTGTTTCACATGTTGGAAATTTTCAACTGAATGATAATGATATAATCACAGATGTATTGTGCATACCAGAATTTAAGTTTAATCTTTTGTCTGTAAACAAACTGACAAAAGAGTTAAACTGTTCTGTCTCTTTTTTCCCTACATACTGTGTGTTTCAGGATCTCTTATCTGGGAAGGTAAAGGGGATTGGTAGAGTAGAGGAAGGATTATATGTGATGGACTCGAAAACAAGACCACACAAGGATAGGATTAAGACAATGTCTGCAGTCAAGAAAGGAGATGCAAGTGCAGAACTATGGCACAAGAGACTAGGGCATGTTCCCATGAAAGTTCTTAGAAGAATAAAAGACTTTAGTACTTGTAATAGTTTTACCATTGATAAGTGTGTCATTTGTCCACAAGCAAGACAGACTAGAAGTCAGTTCCCTGTTAGTCATACTATAGTTGCTGATATATTTGATTTAGTACATATGGATGTTTGGGGTCCATATAAGGTCACCACTCATAGTGGAAAGAGGTTCTTTCTCACTTTAGTGGATGACAAATCTAGATGGACATGGACTTTCTTAATTGCTTTGAAGTCTGATGTAATTGTTGTGCTGAAACATTTTCTGGCAATGATAAAGAATCAGTTTGGGAAGTGTGTTAAGGTTTTCAGGTCTGATAATGGAGGAGAATTTCTAAACTCTAACTGTCATGATCTCTTTATGTTGCATGGGATTATTCATCAAAGATCTTGTCCACACACTCCACAACAAAATGGAGTTGTGGAAAGGAAACACAGACACTTATTAGAGACAGCAAGAGCTGTAAAGTTTCAAGGGCATCTACCAAATAGGTTTTGGGGAGAATGTATAGAAGCTGCAACCTATATCATTAATAGAATTCCTTTATCTGTATTGGGGAATAGGTCTCCTTATGAGATATTGTACAAAAGGCAACCTTCTCTGGCTCACATCAGAGTGATAGGTTGTCTTGCATTTGCCACAGACCTGAGAAGAGATGACAAGTTTGCACCAAAGGCTAAGAAAGCAGTATTTCTTGGCTATGCTGTCAGTCAAAAAGGATATAAACTATTAGATGTTGAATCTAAGGTTGTTTTTGTTAGCAGAGATGTAATTTTTCATGAGACTGAGTTTCCATTTCAGTCTCTAGGATTTAGAGAAGATGCAGATCATGTACCTTCAATATCATATTCACATGTAGAAGACAGTGAGCTCACACCATGTGTTGTCATCAGAAGTTCAACACCTATTATTGTAACTGAGGACACAACAATATCTGCATCATCTAGTGGTCATTCTCACAGGGATCCTAATAATACTCAACTATCAGACAATGCTGCTTCTGTTACTTCTCAGGACCCTGAATTGTCAGTGCAAACTCCTACAGTTGTTACCAGAAGGTCAAGTAGATCAGCTAAACCTCCAATTTGGCATACAGATTATGTTTTGACAAAGAAGAATACAACTGCTGGCAGTTGTTCCTATTCTATTTCAGATGTAGTGGACTACCAGCGCATCTCACCTACATATAAAAGCTTTGTCACTAAGTTTTCTCAAGAGAGGGAACCTACTACATATCAAGAAGCCATTCTAGATCCTAGATGGGTAGAGGCTATGGAGAATGAGATACAGGCATTGGAAGAAAATCAAACATGGAAGATCACTCAACTGCCTAAGGATAAGAGGGCAATAGGATGCAAATGGGTGTACAAGATAAAGTATAAAGCTGATGGGGAGGTTGATAGGTTCAAGGCTAGGTTGGTAGCCAAGGGCTATAACCAAAAGGAAGGGCTGGACTATCAAGAAACTTTCTCTCCAGTTGTAAAAATGGGGACTATTAGAGCAGTCATATCATTAGTTGCTGCACATCACTGGACTGTCCACCAGATGGATGTTTTTAATGCATTCCTTCAAGGAGATTTAAATGAAGACGTGTACATGGAAATACCTTTGGGTTTTGTCCATAAAGGTGACAAGGGGGTAGTGTGTAAGCTCATCAAGTCACTTTATGGCCTCAAGCAAGCAAGCAGGCAATGGAACATTAAACTGACAACAACCCTGGTTGATTCTGGTTTTCAGCAGAGCAGTTATGATCACTCTTTGTTCACAAAGAGTCAGAAAGGAAGTTTGGTGATGGTTTTGATCTATGTTGATGATTTGTTAATCACAGGGAATGACCACAACTTGATCTTGGACACAAAGAAAATCCTCAAGGATAATTTTAAGATCAAAGATTTAGGGGATTTAAGATATTTTTTAGGAATCGAATTTGCCAGGAACGACACAGGGATCCTTATGCATCAGAGGAAGTACTGTCTTGAGTTGATTTCAGACATGGGATTATCTAGTTCCAAGCCTGTTGGAGCTCCCATTGAGATAAATCAGAAACTTACTACAAAGGAGTTTGATCTTCACTTTCCTACTGCTGATGGAAGTGACAAGTTGTTGGATGATCCGAATGTGTATCAAAGGGTGGTAGGGAGGCTACTCTATTTGACAATAACAAGACCAGATATTGCATTTGCAGTGCAGCTTCTAAGCCAATTCATGCATAGTCCTAAAACATCCCATATGGAGGCAGCGATAAGGGTGGTCAAATATGTCAAACAGTCCCCAGGATTGGGAATATTCATGACAGCCAATGCCAGCAATCAGTTAACTGCATATTGTGATGCAGACTGGGCAGCATGTCCAAATAATAGGAAGTCCATAACAGGTTATATGGTTACATATGGAAGTTCCTTGATTTCATGGAAGTCTAAAAAACAGGACACTATTTCACGAAGCTCAGCTGAATCTGAGTACAGAAGTTTAGCATCAACAGTTGCAGAAATTGTGTGGTTGGTTGGCCTCTTTAAGGAGTTAGGGGAACAACTGAAGTTACCTGTTCCTGTATACAGTGACAGCAAATCTGCAATACAAATTGCTGCTAACCCAGTTTTTCATGAACGAACCAAACATATAGACATCGATTGCCACTTTATTAGAGAAAAGGTTCTATTAGGAATGGTTCAGCCTTTGTATTTGAAGACAACAGAACAGCCTGCAGATTTATTCACTAAAGGACTCACTCAAGCACAACACTCATATCTACTAACCAAGCTAGGAATGAAGAACATCTTCCACACTCCTAGCTTGAGGGAGGATGTTGAGAAGTTAGTTCCAGATACAGCTGTCAGCTGATAAGCAAATGTTTTAGTTAAATTAAATGCACGTGATTCTGTTAGATGTGTCAGTGAGTTGGTTAGTGAAAGTCTTCATTTTCTATATATGTACAGAAGTTCATTCATAGAAGGAGTAATCCTTTTCTCTGTATCTGTAAGTCATTGATTGTATAAGATGGAAGTTTATCTCTCAGTTTATTGAGGTTTTTACAGAAAGTTCTTGATTTAGCATAGTTTGAAGCCTTTAGTTCACCGAGAAAAATATTCTTCATTTCCAGCTCCACTAACACAATCAAACATAATAGATAATCAGGTTTACTCAAGATATCATCTGTACCAACTGCAACCCAAAGAGCAAGACAGAACTGTCCTACATTGTGAGCCATGAACTGAATTCGGGCCTGCAAACCTTCCAACTTCTCGTGATCAATGTAACCAATTATCTCTGAGACATATATGTATCTCAAAAATCCCATTTTCCTTCGAATGATTTTCAGTTTCATTGTAAATCGACTTCTCACAAGGATTTCTTCATTCGTCCAAGAAAGGTCAGACAAGCTACCCCATTGCAGGCACATCATCATCAGGTTCTTGTCGAGACAATCCATATATTCCGACATATCTGAATCATTCAACTCATAATTGTACCTTAAATTTGTATTGCCTTGAACGGATTCCAGCAGTGTTAACACTCCCCTTTCAAGATTATGGTTATTTTTGTATTCGTCTGGAATTCCATCAAATACTGAGTGAACCTTTTCCATAATCAACTGGGCAATCTTTGTGATTTTGACTAAGGAATCAGGGGAAACAACATGATTACACTTGATAAAGGTTCTGAAAAATCTTATCTCCACTTCAAGTATCACAATTTGATCAATCTTGACGCTATTCAGATCACCTCCACTCTTGATCCTTCTTAGCTGATCTAACATATCCTCAATGTCGTTCCGAGCCATCTTTCATAGAAAATTCCTGCAAGTTCAACAAACACTTGGAATATTAGTTTCATTAATTATGAGCAACACTTCTATTCATGTCTTTCAATTCTGCCACGGGGAAATGATCTTTTACTATAGGATAAGAAGTTTAAAGTCTAAACTAGTACATTTTTAGTAGGTCAATCATTATGTGACTAGTAAAAAATGAGAGAATTGTAGAGAATAGCATAAGAAAAATATAATCGAGAGCCTTTCTACCAGCCTAAGATCATTAATTAAGATTGAAAAACTCAATTAAGAAAAAGAAGCTAGAAAGGAGAATGTGTATTTTGGATAAGAGAACCGAAAGAAATTAAAACTCTTTGATTTGGATTTTGGTTGATTGCAAATATACAACACTATCTAGACTATTCCATAACTTACTATAAATATTTAATTCTCTCAACATCTACAAGAAAATTCTACTTCTAGGATATCTTATAGAAACTTTAATATATTATATTTCCAAAAATCAACTTTAATTTTTTCACAAGATTATGGTTAGTTTGACCTACATCAAATTGGAGGAGAAACATAGTTTTTGTAATGAAAAAAAAATTAAACGATAGTGTTTGACTTGATACGAAATTTAAAATATTAAAGAAAATATTCTACACGTTTAATATATGCAAAGTACCCTAATCAAACTCACCTCAATAACGTTGAACGGGATCTGCCAATAATTCTGAGTTTTTAATAGACTGGAATTATGAAGTCCCTATTATTATATATATACATATACTCTATGATACAGAAAAAAAGGAGGAGAGAGCAAGTACATATAAGGGAAAAGGAGAAAATAATAATCCTCATCAAGATTTTGTATCCACAAACTTTTTGACCCCCCAAGTTTTCACTGTGGGCCTATGTTTGAAAAATAAGAATATAGGAGGCCCATTTTATAACTTAATAATCATGGAATTAAGTAAGCCTTACGGAAATTTAGTAGCTCAGTCGAAATTTCAAATCATGTTTTTTTAAAAAAAATTGAAATTTGAAATTAATCTCAAATCTAAACTTTGATTTGGAATCATATCTTCATATTACATATTCAAATGTGAGCTCTAGTTTAAACATGTCCAGCTTGTAATAATTTTATCAACCTAACATAGACATTGACAATTGTGAGATTTCTAGAAGATTAGAAGAAAAAACAACCTTGAAAGAGAATAAGTACATTTCAATAAGGAAAGAAGTTTTAGTAGCTCAATTTTTATCGACTATCATTTTATTGATGAGGATCACATTTCATTCCAAAAGAAAATACCTCATTGGTTAATTATTGAATTTTCAATTGGTTAGTTATCTAAACTCTTTTATGAGAATCCAATTTCATTATCGGAAGTTCTTCAGATTTTTGGTAAAAATTCAATTCATTTAAGAAAAAAATAATCTTAAATTCTTAATAAATTGACTTGTGGTAAAAATCGATTCATTTTAAAGAAAAAAATATACCATATTTATATATGCAACACCACCATATACAGTTATATAGTGTTGGAAAACAAAAACGTAGAGAATTATTCATTCATCAACATAGTATATCCACACATGCCAACATATATATACAAGTCCTATATATCACAAAAGTGAAAAATAAAAGTTGAACAAAACACTAGACGATATCCGACTTCGCTAGCCAAAACGAAATAAATATATGAGCAATCGAACATGAAAGCGAGATGAACATATGAGCAATCGAACGCGACTTCGCGGTCGGAGCTTAAACAAAAACTCTAGGGACAGAATCGATAGGTTTACAATCAACTTCTCTAAGGAGAGTGCGAATGCCTTTGCCTCCAGCATTAGCAAGTGGGTGAATCCCATGGGCAGGACCTTCCATGTATGCCCTCTTCTCCCTTTCTTCATCAAATGACACACCAAAACGTTTCTCCACATCTACATCAAATTTTAAAAACCTCGTAAAAAATGCTATCGCGCGAGTTAAATAAACGTACTATTAAGACTAGACATAATCCTAACACCCAAATTCATGTAAGATATATCAAATAATCGACCAACTAAACTACTAAAATTCTCCGAAGAAAAAGTGACTCAAAACTACTCATGTATCACACACTAATATCCCTTCCAAATCTATCCGAAAGAGGTTTAAAACAGAAAAGGGAAATAGGGAGGCGATTACAATGTGAAAAATCAAATCCTCGCCAATAAGATAGATCAAATAATCAACCAACTGAACTATTGAGGTTCTCCTAATTAAGAAAGGGTCATTTTTATCTATATTCAGAAAAAATTTAACTTAATTTTTTTTCATGCTACTCCTAGTTAGACAATTTACAACTCTATTAGATGATTTTCTAACTAAATAATCGTGTAAGACTTGTTTCAGACCACAAGTTTTTTTGAGCTGCGTGTCTAGCAAACGGAGCTACTCCTATATATTGGGACGGTAGGTATTAATTAATGTTTTATACTGGCAACCTACATTCTATACAATTAGATTAATATTATATCACTTCAAAAGTAATTAATAACATGTATCAATCATAATATGATAAGTGATTTTTGTGTACCTTGAGCAAGGTTCTGATCGAGTTGACCATCTCTAGTAAGCGCCATCATAACTTGAGGAATTCCCAAAGGAAGTGTATCACCTCTATCAACCTGCCAGAAATGTATCACTTTGCCATAAGTTTTCACGGTTTTTTCATGATCTTGTCGTTGAATCGGGCCTGGAACACCGGGCATGAACAGGACACCGCTTTTCACCTCGTACAAATGAGAATGCCAAAATTTCTTTTCGTCGTCTGGCAATGTCAAGAACAGTTCCTCCGATACAATGTACTCGAGTCCGATTAGACGACCATCGGAGTCAGGCCTGTCGTAAATGAGGCATTGCCTGAATTCCTCGTTTTGGTGCCCACAGAAGTGGTGCGCCTCGACTTGTCGTGTCATGTCATGTCCATAGAAATGGAACCTGAAATTAGGAGCACATAATTTCACGCTAGAGTTGTGGATTTGAACCTGCTATCAATTAAAAGTTAAAAGTTTCTCTTTGTTTTAGAACCCCAAATTCCTAATTTTGCCTATGCCCTCTGTTCATGAGTAACTTTTAACATCTATACACATCACAAAGTTCAATAATCTATTTTCTTAAGTTACTCCCTTCGTCCCAAAATAAATATATTAATTATTTTCCATCTATAACCCTAGTATAGTCAGGAATCAATTCTCAAGAAACATCTGATAAAAAATAAAAATACCTTAGTAAAATACACATTTTATTGAATTCTCGTGTTTCAAATGATCTAGCTAATTATTAAAAATTTTAAATCCGCCGCTAGCGTACACAATGCTGTAAATTTAGTTATAATAACAAAAAAAATGATAAATTATAGAATAAGAGATAAGTTAAACTTAACGCGCAAAGATGTTGATGAATTTTATTGATAGGACCAAATCCTTGAATGGTAGCTGTTGCAGTCTCAAGAATTGCTGTTCCTGTTTGCGTAGGTTCACCTGGAACCTCTGGATGAGTCGATACATTTATTCCTTCCATTTTTTTTCCTTTCTAAAATCTCAAATAAATTCAGAATTCGAAATTTTAGTAAAGTATTTTGTTGTGGTGATCTGTTAACTTATTTTTGGCCTAGAAAGAAGAGGCAGCTAGCTTATAGATAGGAATATGACTAGCATGCAGACTAACACGTGGCACGGCACGTGGCGATACCACTGGTTATGTGGCAGTACAGGTGTCTTTTGTTTGGGTAATTTGAAAGCTGACTCCTTCTACTCCTACTCATGACTTGTTCTCTAACTTGTGTGACAAATGTTTTTTTTTTAATGTGCTCTGATGTGTGACGTTCAGACAAATATGTTATTAATTTACTTGTTTTGAGTATAATTTATATTTTAAAATTTTATAATTTATATTAAATAATATATTTACTTTCTTCATAGATTGGAAAGTTGCGATGTATTCGGAAGCGGTTCCCCTCCTGTATACATCTTAATCCATCACTTTAGTAGCAAAATTGCACACCTAATGTAATTCAAATTTGATAAAATTTAGTAATTTTCTCAAATGTTGCTTTGCTTTCCTACAACTTGTCATGTCAATTTTCATCTTCTTGAGATGGTAAGGTTTGTTGTTGCCAAAAATCTTTTTGGGCCAAGCCCATCAACATTCCAATGTCCAATTCTGACTAAGCAAGCCCAATACGAGATGACATGATTGTAACAAACCCCAATATTCACATCACTAGCTATCGATGTGGAAATTCTCAACATGAGAACGGGTGTTAATTCACATCTCTTTGCATAAGGTAGCTCTGCCATTGCCACCAACACAAATACATCACACCATCACAATATATCATCCTGATAAAATGCGCACATCGCAGAACCTTAACAATTATGAGACGTTAGGATGGTAAAAAAAAATAAAATGTATTCATCGATCTTTCTATCGATGTGAGAACTCATCATTAAGTGCAGAGTTATTTAATTTTGTAAATGATGATATAGTTTTAAGAAGTGAATTTTCAGTTACGTATTACGATGCCAAAACCTACCTATGACATCACATTTAATTGTTCTTTTTAATTTTGGCACCAACTTTTCTAACATTAAGCCATATAAGTATGAAACAACTTGGGCAGCTTCACGATCCTTAACGCATTTCCAACTGAAAAGAAGAAACCAAATCAAGGGTGTGTTTGGCTTGGAGAAAAAAAACAATTCCATGTTTGGTTCAAATTTTTTGAAAACTACTTTCTCTAAAAAAAATATTAGTCCAATGCACAAAGAAAAAAAAAACAAGATTCACGAATAATATTCCACATTGATGATTTGCTCTCTGCCTTTCAGCACAAACTATCCCACCCCATAACGCCCTGACGACCCAACACTTTACCACCCACCCTCCAGTCCTCCATCGATCCACAACATAGTGTTCGCCAAAATTAATTATACACTAATATTTTTGGGACAATATTTTTTGTTACGTACCAAAACACGAAGAATATTTTTCTTCAACCAAATACACCCTAAGAAGTAGCTAAAACTAATAACGTGACTCCAAATCAAAGCTTGCATGAAAAATCTAAGCCTTGCATTTCACGTGCCTCTCTCAAACGACTCTTATTATTAAATTGAAAATTTTCGATTATCAAATACACAACAACTAAAAAAAAGAGATTATATTCCCAAAAAAAAAAAAAAATCATCAATGAACTCTCAAGAAATTCAACCATCAAATTCTACACAAATTCAAAGTGTTGAAATATCAATTCAAAATCTCATAAAAAATTGGGACAAAAAGCAAAGATGGAATTTCTTTATCATGAATCCTTCACAACAACCAACAAAACAACAATGGAGAACAAATTTAACAAAGTTTTTAGAATCCATACCTCTTAGAATTTCACCATTGTGTTACTCATAATTGATCTTGTTTTCACAAGTTTTGAGCTCTCTTCATCTTTGATATCCTGCCCGCAAAATCGGAACGCGATAAATCAAGAAACGGAAGAGGTTTGGTACCATTGGGCAGGTAATATTAGATAGTTTGTAATATATATGAAGTAACATTTTCTTGTATCAAAAGGAAAAAAATGAGTTTGAAAGCCTTTATATTTTAATCTTATTAGTTACAAACTATTTAGCGACAAATTTTATAGCTAATTCATGTTTTTTACGATAGAGATATATGTAGCTTTGTTGTTTCCTAACTTGAAAATTGTGATATTTAAAACATAGTCACAATTTACAATTGTATTTAAATTTTAGTTACTTTTCTTCTTTCTTCTTCTTGATTTTCCTTGTTGTTGGCCCTTATAAATACATATACAACATTTCTACTAAAGATATTATTTTTGATGCTTCAAAGCTTTAAATCAATTCCATCTTTCTATTTTCCGAACAGGTATAGGGATCTTGGGATTGTTATTTCTGAAGAGTGTAGGCCTTGTTGTAGGTCTAGGGTACGCATTTTTTCGAAGACCAGGGTACTTGCTAGATGGCATAGTTATTATGGTGGCATTATTTTTGGAAGCATATTTGGAAAAAAATGGAGGCGGATTACTTGTTGTTGTTAGCTTATGGAGAGTTGTTAGAGTTGTTGAAAGTGCTTTTGAGTTAAGTGATGAAGCAATTGAAGCACAAATTGAAGAAATTGTTTGTCAATTTGAAGAATTGAAAGAAGAAAATAAAAGATTGATGGATAGTGTTGTTGAGAAAGATAAACAAATTGAAATACTTCAACAAGAATTGGATCAATACAAAAAATCAACTTACTAGAGATACAACTAGAATTTTATCTTGTTTTTAGGTATATATATAAAATCAATTGATAGAAACTTTAAGTTATCTGAACAAGTAAAAATTCATATTAAAAATTTCCCAAAAAGCAGATTGAACCTGAAAAATTAGCTCATATTAATTATTGGTCCAACATCAATCGATAGTTCTTGATCTTATGCATATTTTTATTTTAATTTAGGATTCTTGTAATAAAATATATAAATATCGAGCATGAATAAACTATATGTCAGGTTGGTACCCCAAGTGGCATAAATTGTCAAAACTGTGCAGTTTATTGCCCACTGAATGAATAAAGAGCTGGTCCATATATATTAAGAACCTGTTTGGCCTTTGATTCCATTCCCTTTGTTTGCTTTTTTCCCTGCAATTTTTTTTAGCTTTTGGTAGACTTTTAGTGACCAATCAGAGGAAACTTTTCTTATTGGCCAATTAAAACTATATGATAAATTAATAACAAGCTTTTGAAATGTAACTCTTATTTTTTGAGAGTTTAGAATAAAAAATACTTATATGATTTAAAATATCTCATTTTTTCGAATTTAATACCTGAACTATTTGTATGCTAGTTTTCTATTTGAACTATCACTTACCTTGAATCTCTTTTCTATTGAAATATCATCATCGTTCGGGAGCAACTGATAGTTGTGGTTTGTTTTGATAAATAGTTGATGATAGTTTAGATGAAAAACTCGCACATCAGATAGTTCAGATATAAAACTCAAAAAAATCAAAATACTATAGTTGTGTTTTGACCCTTTACTCTTCTTTTTTTATGTGAAACTCAATGGATCTTTACTTACTTTCATAAAACAAAACTTATACACTATGGAGGGATGGAGCTAGAAGTTTAAATACAGATTCAATTGAACCCAATAATTTTTGTATAAATGATACATTTGTGTGAAGAAATTCATTAAATATATATTCATATTAGATTTAAAGCTCAATTATTATTACTTGAAGTCGTTATTCTATAATTTTAAACCCATAAAATTAAAATCCTGACTCGCCTTGAACATCACATATTAATCAAAACCACTCGCGTTAATTAATTATGTGGATATAATATCCATTGTTTTAACCTAATATATAATCTTAAATATGAACTTTTTATATATAAAAGATTGATTTCTTTTGTAATTATGTGGGAAAAAGGGAGGAAGTTATAAGCAACTTGTAAATTAATATAATTGAACCCTAGTTTGCCTATCATCCATCTATTCATTCGAGGTGGGAATAAAAAAATAAAAACCTTCTTTTATTAAAAAAATTATAACCTTACAATTATAGTAGTCATATTCTTAAAGGGAAAAGGGTGCAACTTGTGCAATTTTTAGTACACTTAATTAGGTCATATACATGCATCTAGTTGTTGAATCGATGTGAGAGTTGAAATAAATTATTATTAAGAGAAAATAGTGGGAAAAGGGTTGAAATTTGTGTAATTTAGAACCCTTATTTGTACAATATAGCTATTCAACCGACGTAAGAGTCAGAAAATTGTGATAACAGTCAGACACTTCAAAAAATAAAAATATATAAGGGTACAACTTGGATGATTTGATTTTTAAAATTTTAAATCGTCTAGTCATTGAACTCGAATTTGTATAAAAGAATGGTTTGTACTTACGTATAGCGATATAGGTCATCAACTGTCAATTATAATATAGAATATTCTATTTTTTTTATTTGAATGAAACAAGAAGATTTAAATGAAGGATATTCTTTTTACCAATAATATAAGCTAGAATTAGTAAGTTTCTATGATAAGCAGTTAATATTTTTTTTTCTTCTTCTTTTCTAATCTCCGTGGGCATATTTATGAGAGTAAGGGTATGTTTGGCCTGTTGAAGTTTGGTAATTGTGTATTTAAGGTTCAAAAATTCAAATAAAGTTAGCATATGACTTTCTGGAGTATACTTTTTTCTAAATTATAAACTATAGTGTTTAAATTTATGTATTAAAAAAATATTAGTGTTCAAATAAGGTAAGCATAGGACTTTTTGAGATAGACTAATAAATATTTTTTCAGAAAAAATAATAATTTTCACACTAGGAAATGTCAATACCTAAAATAATAATAAAAATACTGGACATGGTCAATACAAATATAATACACAGGACATACTATGTTCTAGGAGAAGTGCATATGAACATGAAAAAGAAAGAACTATTCAATATGAAAAAATAAAAGATAATTAATCTTCTAATTATTTATCAAGGAAGTAATCAAAGTGTCATATATAATTATTAGTAGAATCCTAAAATTTACAAATGATGATTTTTTTTAATTATGAAAAATAGTTTAGTGACTTTATATTA